TACTGCCGTATGCATTCTGTGATGCTGCTTCGTTTTCTTTTGACTGAAGTAAAATCTTGGAATGTATTGGTAATACCGCGAGATATAGGTATAATGATTTATTTATGGTACATTTCATTTCTTTTTGCAATAAAGATAGAATTTTTGTTGGTACTGAATTCATTTATGTCAAATGCCTCTAGTGATGTTCTCCTGCCATTACTGAGGTATTAATAGTTAGTTTTATTGTGGGTTTCATGAATTAGAACATGATCATGTTAAATAAATACATATGAGATTGGGTTTCTTTTTTGGTCTAAATTGGAGAAAATGGAAATAGATGGCTTAATATCTTATCAAACAATAAGTTCTGGGTAGTTTAAAAGCATTGAATCACAATACGACTCCAGGTTAGAAAAATCTGACTTTGAATTTTAAGGTCATTTATGATTCAATTAAAGTTAATTAGTTTTTTCTCATCTCTTTAAAGCCAAAACAATCTTTCTGCTGTTGTTGTAGAAAGTATTTGAGAATCAGATATTGATTTTTTCAAAGTATTTTTTATTTTAAAATATATAAAAATAATATTTTTTTTATTTTTTCAAATTAATTTTAAATATCAATATATTAATATGATCTAAAAAAATAAAATAAAAATTTAATTTTAAATAAAAATATTTCAAATTTTTATAAAATATAGTTTAGAACATGATTCCAAACAAAAACAAATGTTCAGCCTTGTGATTTATTTTCATATAAAATGATCCTAATATCATGGATATCAGAAATTAGGTTACAAGTCTGTTTGGGCGCCTTTTCCCGAATATACCTCTTTTCTATTTAGGTTATAGCCTTGTGATGTGAAAGGAAGTTCACCGATGAATATTGTTTCTCTTTTCTATAGTGGCAGTAATGTGTAGCTGGACCTTTTGAGAGAAAACAATAATTAACACAGTAGAATAGAGACTCCCCTCTCTCTATCCATGTCTTTTTTGTTGACTGTTAACTGTGTTTGTCTATGATTTCTTCCCTGCTG